ACTTTCTTAACAAAGTTTATAAAGTAGGTTTTTAAAAATATTTTTTACTTAAAAAGTATATTGCTAAAATTAATTGTAAAATTTTATTATAAAAATTAATTTTAAAAAAATTACGCAGGCAAATTTGCCTGTGTTACAATTTAAAGGATAGTGAAGAACTTGCTATTAGCAATATGCTTACTCAAATGCAAATTGAAACTGATCCAATCATGTAGCCAAAGATAGATGAAAACCTTATTAACGAATTTAGCATATTAGGTTATATTGCATGTGCTTTTTCAACTCTATATTCAACAGGCAATACTGACCTTTGTACAGAGCATGTAAAAGACATTAAACCAGCTGAATATTTTAAGCATTTACTTAAATACAAAGATGGAAGGTTTTATATTACTCTCGATGGCATTATTTTGCATTAAATTCACAAATGAAATGGAAGGTGTTGCAAGAAGGGAGAATATATATAAAGCAGTGTCAAGATGGCATACAGCTTAGTATTAAAGAAATACAAAAATTAGCAAATAGTAATAGTCATCTTGCAGATAAAGTAATATGCTTCAGTGAAGATTTGCATAGAACACAACTATTCTGAAAAAGATAACATTTTGAATTATCAGATATAATTAAACAGTTAAAGACATATGAAATGATTTTTTTCACTTTTAGCACTGCCAACTTATACTGGCCAGATCTTCATAACCTTATGCCATATAGTGAAAATTCTGTAGATAAGGAGTCGGAACAAGAGGCATATAAACATTGATGTCAAGATTTAATAAATAATCCTCTTATCACCGCCTGGTTTTTTGAAAAGCGATTCAAAGTTTTTTTAGAAAAAGTTATAATCCTTAAGTTAAAGTTGGAAGATTAATGATATAGGTTTGAATGGCAGCATCATGGCAGTATTCATGTATATAGTATTAGAAAAATTAAAGATATGCCTATATTTGAATAAGAAAAGATAAAAAAAATAATGAAATGGAAATTAATGCAATAGTTTAATATATTAACTCATTGGTTACTATGATTAACCCAGAACTGAATGCACCTATGCCTGAACATCATTCTTGCCAAAAAAGCACTAAAGAATTAAATAATGACCTACAGGATTACATTAAGCTTATTAACAAATTACAACATATTGTAGTTCTTCATATTGTCTCCAAACAAATAAGGAAGGGCAACAACAATGTCAATTTGGGTATCCTAAAGATAATATAGAATATACCTTTATTTGTGACAACAATGGTTAACCAGAACTCTTTACAACACAAAATGATCCTTATATCAATTCACATAACCATCTTTAGCTTCAAGGCTGACATGCAAACATTGATATAAATCTATTTTGAATATCCATGCTGCTCTACAATATGTTGCAAAATATGCAAGTAAATCAGAACCACATTCTGCCACTTTCTCAGAATTATTAAATAAGATTCTTTATGAAAGTAGGCCATCAGATTCTTCTCTTAGTGCTTTTCAGTATTTATTGCTTTATACAGTTACAGAATGTAATATATCTGCACATGTTATCTCCTTCTAAGCATTCCACTTTACTATTTTAGTTATTGTTTTGTAGCCTTAAATCTTAATAAGGAAGTGTTTCGATGGTTTCATTGTACCAGTAATAAGAACTTTGTAACAGTAGGCCAAGTTAGATAAACAGAACAATCTCTCTTACAATGATATTAGAACAGATCAATTGATCTTGAGGATCTTTTGTTATTTTAACTTTATCAGTGATATAGGTATTCTAATAGTAGTTAGAAGAAATATAAAGGTGAAAACATTGTGTGCATTTGGCCAAAACTATCACTTCAATAAAATAGTCCTCAATAGAAAGAGTTTTGCTAAATAAAGGTTCTACTTCATGTTCACCATAGAAGCCTTGAACAGTTAACTGAAAACAATACTGTTTCATGGTCTGAACTTTTTAATCGAAATCTTGTTGAGATAAAAAGTAAACTTAATGATTTACTTGGCTCATCTGTTGATGAGTTGGAAGAATCTGTTTTTGAGAATAAGAATAAGCAACTAGAAACTGATGAAGATGAAGAAATTTGGCCTGATTGGATGATTTTAGCAAAAATAGGCCTAAATATAATTGTTGACAGTTCTTCTGATCTTGGTTTAAGTAATACTGATTGAAATTATGACTGGGTCAGAGCTGTTAGACAACATTTTCCAAATCTTAATCTTGCTAAAGTAAATATATTTATATAGCAAGTTTGCAGTAAAGAAGCACTTAATACTGAAAATTCAAATATTCATACTGTAATAGAATTTATTTTTTTCCTATATTAGTATATATTTATTTTTAGCTCTATATTATATTTTATAATTTTC